GCCAAAGGGAAGAGGGAAAGGGACAAAAGACCCCAGAGGACACCAGTCAGGCCAAAGGGAAGAGGGAAAGGGAAGAGCCAAAGGGAAGAGGGAAAGGGACAAAAGACCCCAGAGGACACCGGTCAGGCCAAAGGGAAGAGGGAATAAAGACCCCAGAGGACACCAGTCAGGCCAAAGGGAAGAGGGAAGAGCCAAAGGGAAGAGGGAAGAGGGAATAAAGACCCTAGAGGACACCAGTCAGGCGAAAGGGAAGAGGGAAGAGCCAAAGGGAAGAGGGAAGAGCCAAAGGGAAGAGGGAAAGGGAATAAAGACCCCGGAGGACACCAGTCAGGCCAAAGGGAAGAGATCTAAAGGCTTCCCTGCATCTACACACCCAAGTCACAGCCACACAGCACCGGCTGTGCAGCGCTCAACACTCTTTAGAAAAGATCCATTTGTTCTGAGTGTGTGGAGGCGGAGTAACCTCCAAACCTGCCACCCCGGGGTTACAGGCATCAGAAAGGTTTGGTAGATGTGCTGAAGTCGCACAATCCAACAACTCACTGCAGACCGACATGTGGGATTAATCAGGACCCAGAGACTGAACCTCATGCTGCACTACGCCTCCTACAGCCCAAAAGCTTAACGCAACGTACCAAAAGGCCACTGTTGGCCCTTAACCTAAATCACGGTATAAAATATTAGTTTTCAAATGTATTTTTACCTTTAATTTAGATTTGAAGCGGTCATTTAGCTCCTTGGATGGGATCAGTACGGCCAAACACACCAAACTGGTGATGAGGTCACAAAGGTTGGTGCTGCCCAGGTTGGCCAGCAGGCTGTACCAGGTCTTAAAGAGCGAGAACCAGCCTTGGGGCCGGGGAATCTTCAGGCCCAGGAGGTACTTGATTTGGGAGGTGAGGATCGTCAGGGAGGCTCCCGTCGCGAAGCCGCTGAGAAGCGAGTCTGAGAGGTAGACGGAGACAAAGCCAACCTGCAGAAGGCCCATGAGAACCTGAGAGGAGGAGACAACCGAGAGAGAGGGGCAGCTTTAGAACGAAACACAGAAGAGATGGAGAGGATTTGGCTCTTTAGAGTTCTGAAAAGGAAAAGCTGCAGATTTAGCCATTATGCTGACGACATTCCGGTGTTTCTGCTTCACTTGCCTGGTAGACGCCGGCGGTGAAGGTGACGGTGGCTCCCACCG